AGAGCTACTCCAAAGTGGAGAAACTCTTTATCTTAGGGTAGAGGATTGATGGTCTTTTTTTTTCCCCCTTCTTCTTTCTAATGTGTTGTTAAATGTGTTGGAACCTGAGAAGTAATAAAACTGATCAAAGTGATCTCTAATTAATAAGTTCATGTAACATATCTCATTCAACTCCGCTATGAAGGGAGGAAGGATCTGATTTAGGCATTGGATCTTCTGTCAAAGAAGTGTTTTTGTCCAAGTCAGTTCACTGAATAAAAAATGTAAGGCAATAAGTGACTCCAATTAGAAGTCATTTCTTCCTCACAAGTTGAAGTGGGTAAATCAACATTTGAGACAAGATATCAACCTTCTATATTATATTCTGGTTTTTTTTTCTCTTTCAAAAAAACAAAAGACTACTATTGCTTTGTAACAGCATCCATCTCAAAGGAACAAAGGAGATGTGTTAGTTGCCATGTCGTCATGAAATAACAAAGAGTCACTCTAACTGAAGGCTAGAATATGTCAAAGTTAACATCTCATAAAGCTTGATGTCAAAAATATTACTTCAAAATTTTTACTAAATGTTAAATTGCCACCGAAGCTATCAATCCAAATTTAACATTTGCATTTAACATCTACCTTTACAGATGCTAACTCTTATTGTAGGTGCAAAGATAAATACTTTCTTTCATTGGAGTTAACTCCTATATATATAATTTTTTATTATAAAAATTTCTCTTGAAATTGGGGGTTAATAACTTTTTTCTCATCCTAATAACAAGTTGTCTTTGTGAGTAAACACATTTCAAATTTGACTTGTGCACCTCAACCTCAACTTATTAGGAGAATAATATCTTATTCATAAGAGCCAAACTAAAGTTGTTTTAGTCAAAGTACATGTGGTGGTGTGTATCTCATCCTTGTTAGATTCGTGCTGCTTTTAAGCTCAGCTTAGTCAGTGACAATTGCAGCTTAACACTTGAAGATAACTTGCATAAAGACTCTTTTCTTTCTATAATTTGTGTTAGTTTGCATAAATTGTGGCAGTTTAAGTTAGTTAAACAGACAACGAAAGATAATATTTCTTGTCCATTAAAAAAAAATATACAGTCCCATTATCCATTAACCGTTAAACCTCATGCAAAACCCTCTGGGAAGACAATGCCCTCAGAGTCCGAAAATGGCAGTTTCAGCTCAAAGCTCTCAAATTCCTCACACCCAACACCTTCCTAATCCTCAATTCCCCAAGACCCACAAGCTCGAAACCATTGGTTTCTCTCACAAGCTCCAAACCCACCAAATTTCCTTTAGAAAAACCCAAGAAATGACAGTCTGCAGCACTTCCTCTATCTCCACACAGAACCCAAACTCCGATTTGAACGAGCTTTGCCGCCATGGGAACCTTGAAAAAGCTCTGAAGCTCTTGGATTCAATGCAGGAGCTTCAAATTAAAGTGGAAGAGGATGCTTACATTGCTTTGGTTAGGCTGTGTGAGTGGAAGAGAACACACGAGGAAGGAGCTCGTGTGTACTCTTATGTATCGAATTCCACGACCCTTTTGAGTGTTAAGCTTGGTAATGCCTTGTTGAGCATGTTTGTGAGGTTTGGTAATTTGGTTGATGCTTGGTATGTGTTTGGGAGAATGGGGGAGAGGGACGTGTTTTCTTGGAATGTTTTGGTTGGTGGGTATGCGAAAGCTGGGTTCTTTGATGAGGCTTTGAATTTGTATCACAGAATGTTGTGGGTTGGGATTGTGCCTGATGTGTATACATTTCCTTGTGTTCTTAGGACTTGTGGGGGCGTCCCGGACTTGGCGAGGGGAAGGGAGATTCATGTACACGTGATTAGATTTGGGTTTGAGTCGGATGTTGATGTGGTTAATGCTTTGATTACAATGTATGTAAAATGCAGTGCCGTTGGTAGTGCACGGATGTTGTTTGATAGAATGGCTAGGAGGGATAGGATCTCGTGGAATGCTATGATTTCAGGGTATTTTGAAAATGGAGAATTTTTGGAAGGATTGAGATTGTTTCTCATGATGCTTGAATCTTCAGTTTATCCGGATTTGATGACTATGACTAGCTTGATATCTGCTTGTGAGCTTCTTGGTGACCGTAAGTTAGGGAGGGAAATCCATGGTTTTGTCATGAGAACAGAGTTTGCGGAGGATGTTTCAGTGTGCAATGCTTTAATTCAGATGTATTCAATCATTGGGCATTTTGAGGAAGCAGAAAAAGTTTTTTCTAGAATGGAATATAAAGATGTGGTGTCATGGACATCAATGATTTCGTGTTATGGTAATAATGCACTGCCTGACAAGGCCGTGGAAACCTACGGAATGATGGAGCGAGAGGGTATCATGCCAGATGAAATAACCATAGCCAGTGTTCTATCTGCTTGCGCTTGTTTAGGGCATTTAGATATGGGTATGAAGCTTCATGAGCTTGCTTACAGAACTGGGTTCATATCATATGTGATAGTTGCCAATACGCTCATTGATATGTATTCTAAGTGTAAATGCGTTGATAAGGCTTTGGAAGTGTTCCATGGCATCCCAGGAAAGAATGTCATATCTTGGACTTCAATCATACTTGGCCTTCGGATCAACAATCGGTGCTTTGAGGCTTTGATTTTCTTTCGGCAAATGAAACTCAGTCTAAAACCAAATTCTGTTACCTTGGTTTCTGTCCTGTCTGCTTGTGCTAGAATAGGAGCTTTGATGTGTGGAAAGGAAATTCATGCCCATGCATTAAGGACTGGTGTAGCATTTGATGGTCATTTACCTAATGCGCTTCTAGACATGTATGTAAGGTGTGGAAGGATGGGGTCTGCATGGAACCAGTTTAACTATAACAAAAAGGATGTTGCAGCATGGAATATCCTTCTAACTGGCTATGCACAGAGGGGGCAAGGAAGGCATGCCATCGAGCTATTTGACCGTATGGTTGAGTCCCATGTAGATCCAGATGAGATCACATTTATTTCATTGTTATGTGCTTGTAGTAGGTCTGGCATGGTTGGCGAAGGTTTGGAGTATTTTAGAAGCATGAAACTTAATTATTCCATCACACCTAATCTCAAGCACTATGCTTGCGTTGTTGATCTACTTGGTTGTGCTGGGCAATTGGATGATGCTCACGAGTTTATACAGAAGATGCCTATAAATCCAGATCCAGCTATATGGGGAGCTTTGTTGAATGCATGCATGATCCACAAGCAGGTTGAACTTGGTGAACTTGCAGCTCATCAAATTTTAAAAATGGATACAGAAAGTGTTGGGTATTATGTACTTATCTGTAATCTCTATGCTCAATGCGGTAAGTGGGAAGAAGTTGCAATAGTAAGAAAGATGATGAGGAAAAGTGGCCTGACTGTAGATCCTGGGTGCAGTTGGGTGGAAGTAAAGGGGAAGGTTCATGCTTTCCTAAGTGGTGATAATTTCCACCCTCAAACAAAGGAACTAAATGCAGTTATGGAGGGATTTTATGAGAAAATGAGATCAGTGGGATTCAGAGAGCCCGAAAGCAGTCCTACAGATGAAGTTGAAGCTTCAAAAGCTGAGATTTTTTGTGGACACAGTGAGAGACTAGCAGTTGCATTTGGGCTCATTAATACAGCTCCTGGGATGCCAATATGGGTGACTAAGAACCTTTACATGTGCCAAAGCTGCCACAATACTATCAAATTTATCTCTAAGGTTGTGCGTCGGGAGATTTCTGTAAGAGATACTGAAAAGTTTCACCATTTTAAGGATGGCTCCTGCACTTGTGGGGATGAAGGTTACTGGGGAAGCTCCAATAAATGAGCTGCCGAAGGAATCTTAGAGAACGGTGGAGTAGAATTCAGAAATGACAACTTCTGGCTCATGCTAAACATCTAGTAGTGAGGCTGCAGATTGTTGATTATCTCCTTAATTTCAAAGTCTACTTAAATGCTAAGCAAATTGGCGGAAAGATGATGTGCGACATATATCACAAGAGAGGAAGTAGCTACTTTTCTGCTCTGTCATTACAATCAACTGGAAAAAAAATGATTGGAATTTTGTGAGGCCCTTTCAATAGAAATTTTGTTAGTACTACACTCCGCAGGGCATTGTTATCTCATAACAGTTGTTTGTATGGTGTAATTTTATCATACATGATTTCCTTGTAAAGTAAGTAATCGTTTATAAAATTGTAAATTTCAAATACAGTGTTATGTTGGATCTTATCTTTTCTCATCATTTTGCAACATAATTTATGCTTTATCACTACTATTTTGGAGCAACCTAATAAGCCTGAAATATACTAGCAGCCTAACAGATAATGTACTTATCTTTGCAATAAGCATGGATTACAAGCTGTGCCCATCTCCGATATGAAGGTTGGAATGGACATGCAATGGATTTATTGGCATGTGAGAGTCCTATATTATTAATATCTCCATGGCCCTGTTTATCTCAAATGCAATAATAATTCTGAACTTGGATTTGTTTTCTGCAGATTTGGTGACTTCAATTCGACTTTCATGTATGGCCTAAAAACTAATTCAACTTCCGGAATTGTGCATGACATGCGTAGTTTAACAGATCTATTCCATTTGACAGAGCTCCTGGTAATGTCTAATGTCTCGGTATCAATTCTGGTATTCTTGTTTTTTCATTCAATTCCTTGCAGAGGACATTTGAGATGAGTTTACAAACCAAGATCTTGCAAGAAACTTGAATAGGACCATTCTTTAAGGAAATAGAGAACACAAATTTTAGCAGAGTGAAAGAAAAGGAAACTGAATATTTCTAGTAAAACAACAAGCTGTTATAGCGTCTCACACAAATCAATCTTATACACAAATCAAAGACAATAAAAGAATAGCCAAGCTTGACACAGTTATTCAAAGCTTAAGGCATGTTGCCTTTGCTTAGACTCTAATGGAAAAAATATATATATACCTAAGGAAAAAATTATAGTAAAAACAATGGAGAAGGAAAAGAATCAATACACATTTCCAATGATACACAAGAGGAACTGAACTTTTGTTCACAATTTCACTGCTTTCTTGATTGTCTTCATGGATGACTTTAAAAAGTTGTTTTCTGTAGCATAGCTCTCCTCATCATCACTAGTTACCATGGGCTTCTTTCGTATGCAGTCGACACCCTTTTTCATGCCCAATATTATAGACGGAGACGATGGAATTCGTCGAAAGGCTCTGGCACTCTCAGACCTTGCAAGTTTTCTTTCCTTTCCATTACTCTGATCCCTTCTTTCCTTCCCTTCGAAACTCTTCCTGCTAACAACTCCCCTAACAGGAGTACCCAGTTCATGTGCATTGCCATCCTTCTCTTGGACAATTGACTGCCGCTTTTCGTCATTAACCGGCACACCTTTTTTGACAACTGCTTCGGGACGCTTCAGATTCTTGACCTCCTGTGGATACTTCAAATTCATTTTTCTGATTATATCACCAGTCTTGTCTATTTCACTTTCATTTTCATTCTGAGGACCCAACTCTTCTGGAGAACTGTCTAACAGAATTTGAAGCCACTTCTCTACATTCCCCTTCCCACGCTGTTTCCTGCTTTCTTCATCCTCCTCAATATCTGGTTCTCGAAGGACAGGAAATTGAAATTTGTGATTCCTCTCTTCTATTTCCAGTGTCCTCATTTTATTCTCTATTAAGTTCTCATCCTCTAATGCATCAATGTACCTGGCCTTCTCCTCAAGGTTGTCAATAGACAATCGTTTTGTGGGTCTTTCCAGTTCCTCATTTAGCTCTATTTGCCTATCTTCTTCACTCTGCGATAAAGCAGCAATAGATGCCTTCTGTTCTTCCTCTAGAAACACTCTTAGTTCCTTGTGTAAAACTGTTCTTGGCTTGCTTGCTGGTAGATAAAGAACTGTCTTACTTTCTCTCTCCTCAGCTAAGGCATCATCCATTCTTGATCTCTTCCTTGCTTGTTCCCACTCAGGCCTTATCTGTGTCTCAAGCTCATCTCTTTGTTTGTATTTCTTATGAAGTTCTTTCTCCGAGGCATCACATATTGCCTTTTGTGCCTCAAGTCTTGCCATGAGTGCGCTACTTGCAGCCTGGTTCAGTCTCAACTGCTCTTTATAAATGACAGACCTTAAGCCAAAAAAAGGAAAAGGAAAAAGGTCACCAGTCTGAAAAAAACTATATTCAGAAAAAAACAAAACAAAAAAGAAAAGGAAAATCTTCTACACAGACTCTTGTTTAACAATCTTACTGGTGCATAGCATCTCGAATCATCTTTTCGAGCGTAGTCCTATATGATGATTGTGCCTCTGCTAGCCGCCGGCACTTCTCTGCTCTTCTCCTACGCTTTATCAATGTCAGTTCCAAGTTTTGAATGGTGAGCTTTTCCTCTTCGTTTTTTTGCCTCAATTCATTCACTTCATCATCCAGATTTTGTATCTCTCCCTGCATCTTTGCAGTTTGTTCTCTTTGTTTTAAGGAATCTCTTGCCATGACAATGGCTTGGTGTGGGTTTGTAATGAAGTTCGGGTTCTCATTTTCGTTCGAAACAATATGCTTCCCTTTTCTTGCAGCTAATCAATCCAAAAAAAAAAAAAAAAAAAAAAAAAAAAAAAATTTTATTTTACACACTATGTGACACCCTCATCACCCGTCATTACTACATATACACAAAAAATGTTTAGTTGTTGTATAAGCACTGACCAATTGCGGGAGAGTATGGCTGTATCTGCTTATTGTAGTCCAGGGATTTCAAAACAGATGAAGAGCCATATGACTCCCTTCGAGATACCACAATGGCAGCCGGAGCCAGGCCCATATGCTCTTTAGATTCCACGTAATGTTGCGGAAAAGAATGAGAATCTACATTCTGTGAAGAATTGAGTTCCTCATTTTCCCCTTCAGAGAAGAGAAATGAGAATGCTCTGTGCCTGCCAATGTTGTGAAAGGACACAGTTTGTCACAACTCAATGTTTTTTTAATAGAAAAGCAAGTAGGAATAGAAATATGAAGTAAACCCACCTGAAATCTGAGTTGGAAGAAGCAAATATGGATAAGAACTGGTTCACTGATATGCCCAACTGAAAATCCCACCATGGAATGAGAAATTCTAGCATATTATGCTTCTTCTTGCAGGCTTGCCATTGTAGTATCCTCAAATTGCTTGGGACAGTCAATCCTCCCCCTAGATTTTCAGCAAAAGACCACAGGTTACAAATGAGAGAGAGAGAGAGAGAGAGAGAGAGAGAGAGAGAGAGAGAGAGAGAGAGTCATATACTTGAGCAAGGAAACCAATGATCTATGTCCCAAGCAAGGGGAGAAGCAGAATCAGCATGGTAATACAGAACATTGCCATACGGATCGACTCGAATTACTGCAGGATCAAAGCCAGCATTCCTGAAATTCAATGTAAGCAGAAAAAAATAAGTAAAAAAGTATCATAATTGAATTCTCCAGTTTGCTCATGTCATGTTGAAGGTTTATGGAGCAAAATTAAGAGGGTTACCCAAGGTGGTTGAGCTGCTTCCACAACAGACTAACAAAAATCTTGGGCCTGGTAGTAGGTTTTGCTTTCGGGTCAATAATGGGAAACATCTGCTCAAAATCTCTCGCTCTCAAATCCTGAAAACCAAATTATATCACAAAAACCAGCATTCACAGAATGAAAAAACATTAAAGAAAACCAATTACTGCAAACACATTTAAAAGCACCCAAAAAAAAGAAAGAATGCTCTTAGAACAAAACATGGGGCATCCAAAACATAGTTCAATTTCAATTACCAAATTTAAAGTAAATCCGATGACCTTTCATAATTCCAGACAAAAACCCTCAAATTCTGGATGAAACCTATGACAATCCGATAAACATTTATACGATAGATCTTCCGACCAATTATCAGAGAAACAAATAAATTGAACATGGTAATGTTTAATTCTCTGCACATATAACTTTCCTGAGCTGAATTTTTCCAGTTTCAAAAACCAAAATCAGCTTATATGCTAAAGCCCAATTTTCAATTTTCTCCCTCTATGTCTTTGACTTTCCAGGGAAGCGAACAGAAAGTTAGAAACGATCATATCTCTTACCTCCTGTTGCTGCAGACAGTAAGGCATGAAAGTGAAAGGAGGGCCATGGCTGTAAGGTCCAGCACTGCGATCACGGCAGAGCTTCGCGTAGGCTTTTGGGTACCCAAGACCATCATCGATTGCCATTTCATCTGCTGTGAATGAGTAATCGAAAGCCATTGTTCTTCACTTGGATGCACAGAACAGAAACAGGGGAAGCAGGGGGATTTTGGTTTAGCTGAAGATACAAGTTAACGGTCACATTGGTTTTTTTGTGTTTTAAAAAGATTTAAGACTTTCAAATTTGGGCTGACACGTGAGCAAAACGGTAGGGCGGTGGTGTAACGGCTAGATATGGCCTGGTCCACAGTGATTATGATAATTAAATCTTTATAGCAAAGTCTTGGCCACTTCCATCTACCTTGGATTTTATTTGATGAAAGTATTTTTGGACCTATTTGTTTTGGACGAATTTGATAGAAAGTTATCACCAATTCAATAACACAATGTTGATTATAATTCAAAATGGAAGTGGGTGGCAAAAGGAAGAAACAAACAATCTGACTTCGGGTGTATGTGTAAATACATTTAATCACTCGTATAACTAAAAAGAAAATAATTCTAGTCTTCGGTGTGAAAATAATTTCAAACGATGCTTCATAGTACAAGTAAAAGACTTGTGCTCCTTTAATCATGAACTTTTTTTTCCCAGTGATTAGGTGGAATACGTTGAATGGAAAACTTGAGGGTCAATTCTCTTGTTCAAATCAAAAGAAATAAAGAAGCAATCATTTCCTTCATCATTCCAAGTTTGAACAAACAAATCAACACACCCTTAAAAGCCAGCAGAAAGCCCCTCGTGTGCGCATCCAATATAATTGTTCCACAAGGCCCCGCAAAAATAAGGGGCATAGCTACTAGTGTTCTTGTAATTAAGTAAAGATTAAAAAAGAGAGTAGGTAATTAGTCTTTCAATTTGTAATGATACGGCTTATTAGTAAATTACAATGCTCGGATTAAAGTCAATTTTGTTAGTTTACATATTTCACTCAAAAGTTCCCAAGTTTTTTTGCTCAAGCATATGCTATTTTGGTATCTGTATTCAAACCGTGTTCTCTAATACATAGATTTCGGGCTCGTTTGGGACTGTTTCTCTAGGAAATACTTATGCTCATAAGCGCTTCTAACAAAAGCACTTTTATTATAAAAATCTTGAATTTTCTTAAAAAATTAAAGTGCTTCATGGAAAAGCACATGGGAGTGCTTCATGAAGAATCACATAGTAGGTGCTTCTCCAGGAAGCGCTTTTATGACCCAGAAGCGCTTCTAAACTTTTCTGCCAAACGCTGTCAGAAGCGCTTTTAGTTATCAGAAAATGCTTTTGGCTCTTTCAAAAGCACTCTCAAATAGGCCATTCATTTCTCTAGTTAACTTGTAGACCAATGTGATTTACTATTTACTATAGCTAATTAGTTGTTGAAAGTGTTTTTATAAAAAGTTCTTCTACTAGACGACATGGTATGAATGTCACGGATCTGTGTGGAAGTGTTTTTATAGGAAACACTTCTGCTCATGAGAAAAACTATCCGCTATTGATGAATAGTTGATTCTTTGATTCCTGCCAAAGATTGTTGGATGCAACCGGTGTTCCAATTGTCAAAATCTTTTTCTTGCTCACAAAAACGAACTCTATAACTCATTTGAGCTACTTCTATAATATGATGATTCGAATTGTTCTTTGTATTTCCTCATTTAAGAATGATATCTTTAAGGAAAAAAAAATTCAAATATGATATCATTAAGTCATTTGCGATGATTGTAATTATTTAAGAGTTTATCAATTTCATATTAAATAAAATTTTTGTAGCCAAATTTTCTTGTGATTGGATTAGATGACCTGTAAAACTCATCAAGTGTATGACAAATGGACTCCATTCAAGGAAGATTTTCCAGATCTGACGTAGGGTAGGTACCCTGTTTGGTCCAAGAAAGTCAAGAAAAGTGAAAGTGATGGTGAATTTGACCCATGTCTTGGAATCAAAGTCTATAACCAAGCAAAGAAATAGTTTTAGTTTTACTACCAACACTTCTTTCTCTAAAATTATAAAACATTTACACACATTATCCAAACAACTAAATGAGTAGATATCATCAAGGGGAAATTAATCTTTGGAGTACAACCATATAAATCTATCTATATAAAGCAAAGATAGAGAATGGTAAAACATTCAAACTACTAGAAAATACTATTGGTTAATGCAAACATTAAGAATTGAAATTATTAATTAAATGAGGATAATATGATAAATTCACACTTTTTCATATTAAAAAAATTAAAATAAAAAGAAAAATCAGATAATGGATCTTATTTTTATGGAACCCAACTATCCATTATCTTTTTTAATTCTAAAATATATATTTATATATATTTTAAAAAAGCCTCTCATAAGTGCGGAAGCACGTGCGAGAACCGAACATTTTGAAATTTTTTTGAAAAAATTGGTTTTGGCTTGAACTAGCTAGTTCAATTCTTGATTTTTGTCACTTAAAAATCGAAATAAACCGATTATATGATGTCATTATCAGCCCATATATTGATATATCACAGTCTCACCCTCCCTTATCTCCTTCACAGCCTCAACCTCCCTCATATCTCTCACGATCTAACAACCTCCATCCACGCATCCAACGTCGTCATCCACTGTCTTTTTGCAAATTTCAGTAAAACAAGTCCAGTTCATTGCCTTAACGACTCTATCAAGTGTCGTATTCATTGCCTTAGTCTTGTGCAAATGTCTCTAAAAAGAATCGCGTACGACTCCATTTATAATGTGTAATTTGGCTTCTCACTATTATTGTACAAAATCATTGAGGCAAAGATAACAATGCCACGTACCACAAGAACATCAAAACTCTATATCATCTGACAAAAGTGGGGAGTAAAATAATTAAAAAAAAAAAAAAAAAAAAAAAAAAAAAAAAAAAACATATATCTTTTATATACAAACTTTGAATCTCGAATCTCCTTGATTAAAAGAAACAAGGATCAAGTAAAGTCTCAATAAAAATTTCCTCTTTTTTGTTTTTTGTTTTAAATATTTAATTTAATTTAATTTAATTAGTATTGATTGATTTATTGTTTATTTTATGCAAACGATATTGAAGACAAGGAATTTGAACACAAAATTTTGGAGTAGATAATTACTCTTAACCATTTGAGCTAAAAACCGCTTGCTTTAAATTTTCATTAAATACATGCTTTTAATAATAATAATAATAATCAGAAAGAGGTTAAATATATAATTTTTCTTTCTTTTATATCCGAATATTTTTGTTATTATTGTTTTACAGGATTAAGAACTTAATAGTGGCCTAAACCCATTTGTAAACAGGTTATTTCGGTGGCTAATCCTAATCATACTCATTTATTTAGGTATGCCAAGAAATTTTTAATAATAAAGTACTCTCATCTCAACATCTATGCTGACAAAAAAAAAAAACTTATTCTTCACTTTAATGAAATTGGACCGATTCCATCATAGATGCTCGGAGCCTCTGCATTTAGAATACGTGAATTTATCTGTATTTCGTGAAATTTAACCGAACCTCCACATTTAGAATTCGCGCATTTACCTGCATTTCATGAAATCTAGTCACTCACAAAAGCCTTAATAGAAGACAGTACGTACTAGTGCAAAGGCAGTGAAAAACTCCGATACTTGTAAGTTCTTGTCAAATCGATATCACAAAAGCCTTGAAAAGGAAGATTGTGCAAGTGGAGTCTGCCTTTGGAGAGTGACTTCTCTCTAGTTGCAAATTCTCTACCCATGTAGTGATTAGGAGAGAGATAAAGAGAGGGCGCACCATATCAAGGATAAGGAACCATTTCTCCTCCTTTTGGCCTTTTCTTGAAAATTTATGGCTATAGATTAGCCTAACGACATCCTCAATTAGTGTAGTTGTTTCCTAAGTAACCCACCGCAGAATAACCATGTAAGGATCATTAGTACTGATTCTATGAAGTCTTCTGTTAGTATATGGTAGAGCATAATTGAGGTCAAAACTCAATGAAAAATTGTCACGTCATTTAGTAAACAACTTAAGTAAAAATATGTAGCACTACCCATATTGATCACTTGGTTTAATCTATTTTTAAGTTAAATTTTGACTGAAGCAATAGTATTTTTCTTTTCTTATGAAAAGTTCTAGTTTTTCTTTTTAATACAAGTGATAATCTATTCTAAATTAATCTAATTTACGAGAAAGTGAATTCGAACTTGAGTGCAAAGGCAACTCCACGTCTGTAGGAAAGTTCTAATTTTAGTTCTAAAAATCATACCCAACTTCCAAAGTCCTTGTTATTTAGGATAAAATGAACATGGTAGCAGACTTCCTAGTTCCTAGGATAAAATTCAGCATGCACCACAATTAGACATTTCAAATTTTCATATATAGTTAAGGTAGTTTGCATGGATATTTTGTATACACCACCAACTTAAAGTAACTACACTATAACACTACTATCTCCCTCCCCTCCCCCTGCCCACCTCCTCCCCAACTCCACCATGGAAGAAGCCCCCTCACTCTCCACCACCACCACAAGCCCTCTCCTCCTCCACGAGCGGTGGCGCCACCACCTCCGCCTCAAAACCACGCTCTGTGCCGAGCTCTCCGGCGCAGTGGGTGACCTCGGCACCTACATCCCCATCATCCTGGCCCTCACCCTCGTCTCCCACCTCGACCTCAGCACCACCCTCATCTTCACCGCCCTTTATAACTTCACCACCGGCCTCCTCTTCGGCATCCCCATGCCCGTCCAGCCCATGAAGTCCATCGCTGCCGTCGCAATTTCCGAGTCCCCCCACCTCTCCCTCCCCCAAATCGCCGCCGCTGGTCTGTCCACCGGCGGCGTCCTCCTCCTCCTCGGGGCCACCGGCTTCATGTCCTTCCTCTACCGTTTCCTCCCCTTCCCCGTCGTCCGCGGCGTCCAGCTCTCTCAAGGCCTCTCCTTTGCCTTCACCGCCGTTAAGTACATCCGCTTCAATCAAGACCTCGCCGCCTCCAAATCCACCTCCCCTCGGCCCTGGCTCGGCCTCGACGGCCTCCTCCTCGCCCTCTCTTCCCTTCTCTTCATCGTCCTCGCCACCGGAGCCGGCGACGACGATCACACTCACAATCTCAGCACTGAAAACATAATCAATCGTCGCCGATCACCACGACTTAATCAACGGCTGAAAGTTTTATCCCAAATTCCTGCAGCTCTTGTAGTTTTCTTATTTGGGCTGATTTTGTGCTTCTTCCGCGACATTTCAATCTTGGGCGATCTCAAATTTGGGCCCTCTAAGATAACCTTGTTGAAGATTACATGGGAAGATTGGAAAATTGGGTTTGTTCGCGGAGCAATTCCCCAAATCCCACTGTCAATCTTAAACTCTGTGATCGCCGTCTGCAAATTATCCGGTGATCTGTTTCCAGACAGGGAGGCGTCAGCGAGGACGGTTTCGATCAGCGTAGGGGTCATGAACTTCGTCGGGTGTTGGTTCGGGGCAATGCCTGTGTGCCATGGAGCTGGAGGGCTTGCTGGACAGTACAGATTTGGAGGGAGGAGCGGGGCTTCGGTTGTGTTTTTGGGGATTGGGAAGTTGGTTTTGGCTCTGCTGTTTGGGAACTCATTTGTGAGTATTCTGAACCAGTTTCCGATTGGGATTCTTGGGGTGCTCTTGCTTTTTGCTGGGATTGAATTGGCTATGGCTTCCAAGGATATGAACTCAAAGGAGGAGTCTTTTGTGATGTTGGTTTGTGCTGCGGTTTCTTTGACTGGTTCTAGCTCTGCCTTGGGTTTTGGGTGTGGGATTTTGTTGTTTTTGTTGCTCAAATTGAGGGAGTTGGAGTTTTCTAGAGTTGGGTTTCTGAAATCTAAGTCAGAAGAATCATCCAAAGATGATGAAGCTACTAGCTTGATCCCTTGAGGTTTTGGGTTGGCCTGTTTTTGGTTCAAGTTAAAGGTGCTTGCTTGGTAGTACTCCGTGCAAATACTGCAATGAGAGTTGGCTACATATATTATGTTGTTTATTGAGCAGAGATAAATTAATGATACAATAAAAAAGAGAAGATGTAATCATGTAAAGCCTATATGAGATAAGCATAGCTTTTACATTAGTGCTATTTATCTTCTCAATCTCGAAAGAGGTTCCAAAAATTGAATCTCTTCCTTAATTATTCACACACAAAAAGTTTAAAGTTGGTCGATCTAACATTTAAGTCAACAAATCATTTGCTTAAGCATTTCCGCATGATTTTAGTTGTCATGTGAATTAAATAACCCCATGTCTCCTAAATGAACTGTGATAGATGTGTTCTATTGAACAGTAGTGCCCAAAAATATAGCATAATAAATGAATATTTACGTTCTTTTCTGTCCTGGTTTTTTTTGGTTTGAATTGAATAATATGAGATATTGGGGAACAAGGTGGTCAAGTGTGACAATATGTAAAATTTAGGTGGTTTATTGTAGTATCAAAAGCAACAAATAATTGTTCAAAAAATAATAATAATTAAAGGGTGCTTAATTTCCCACTCTCCTTTTGTTCATTTATACTCCCCCTTGTTTTTAAAAAAATACTTTTTACTATAATATACAAGGGAGTGTAAGTGGACAAAAGATGAGTGAGAATATACAATTTCCAACAAAAGAAGTGTAAGTAGACAAAAGAGGAGTGGAAAAATCAGCTTCCATTATTAAAATGAATTTTTTATTATATATATATTTATAAAGCAAAAGGCAGATAATGATGAAACATTCAAAATACAAGAAAATGCCTTTGGTTAATCCAAATATTAAGAATTGAAATTATTAATTAAATGAGGATAATATGGTAAATTCACATTTTTTCATATTTTAAAAAATAAAATTAAAAGAAAATTTAGATAATGGATCATAATTTTATAGAACACAACTACCCATTATTATTTTTAATTCTAAAATAAATAAAATTTATAAAAAAATAAAAAAAAACCTCTCGTAGGAGCGGAAGCGCGTGTGAAGAGGCTAGTAATAGTAAAATAAAAAGGTTTAAAAGGTTAGCAACAATGGCGAGCATCTATGATACATGACAATTGAATCTTTGGATATAATAATTCATAAGATACAAGATTGGGTTAGGCACTTTCATAAGTACTCCTTGTTTGCAAAAATACTCTTAGGCTCTGTTTGGTTCACATAATGGATTTGAGGGTAAATAACATTCCATGTTATTTTTTAAGGGATGAGAAATGGAAGATTCATTTATCATGTTTGGTAATGCTAGGAAAGTAACCGAGAGATATTACTTTATTTCTTTTCCCATGTTTATTTTGAGTAGGAATGAAAAATAAAATTTGTACAAATTTTCAATTATACCCATATATTAAATTAAATAAAAAAATACATTTAATGATATATTGTAACCCTGAGTCATGCGAATTAAATAACCCCAAGTCTCCTAAATGAACTGTGATGGATGTGTTCTAGTGAACAATGGTGCCTAAAAAATATAGCATAATAAATGAATATTTACGTTCTTTTTTTGTCATTTTCTTTTTGGTTTGAATTGAATAATATGAGATATTGGAGAAAATTAACTGATTATTATAAACATACGTGGCTTGCCATGTAGAAAAAGACTTGACTTGTGGCGGATAGAGCCCTCCGTTGAGCTTGCTCTAAGAAAGTAAAGAAGTTATGTTATTCTGCTTAAGGGATTTTCGAAAATGAAAGCAAAGAACAAATACATATCATAAATTGAAGAACAAATAAAGTACAAATTATAACAAACGGCCAATCCCAATATTACTATAATAATTACTAAAATAAATAAATAAATAAAGAATAACTAATTTAGACTAGGAAAACAGAAAGCAATTCATCTTTCATTAAAGAAACCATATTCAGTTGCAGAAAATTAAAGTAATTTCAAAAAGGTTTTCCCTGTTTGTGTCATCTTCAAATTGCAAGATGTTTTTTTGACAGAAACTAGGCTAAATACCAAATCTAAAACTAATATGAGCTCCCAAGTTTCTTTTTCATCAATTTACATCCTATGGTTTCAAATTTGACCAATTTAAGCCGTCCGTTAAATTGACCGTTTGGTTAGACGTTAACTGATTACGTATACACTGTGGGATACACCAATTCTAAATAAAATTTACATCAAATATATAAAATAACATAAAAATAAAATAAAAAGCTTTAGAAAAACCTACCCAGCTCCCTTCACTGTTGTTTGTTGATCAACCCAGGCCCACCCTCTCTCGCCGGCGCCTAACCCCCTTCCCTGCCCAAAATTCCCAACCCCTCTCGCCGAAGTAGTCTCTTCAGAAAGTCATAAGCTTCTCACTTTGTAAAGCTTTTATTTGATTAGGGCTCAGGAGCTCAAATCTGAAAACTGCAATTATTTTTGTTAGAAACTGAATTGGTTTTTGGGTGCAAGACTATTTGGATAACCACATGCTCTCTTGGTAAATCCCAATTCTCAAATCGCAATTAAAGTGCACTTTCTGTCCTCATGTGTAACTGGTCACTTGTCTGTAATGAATGACAAAGGTTGTTTGATTTACGGAATGAATTTAAAGTGAAATTATTTTCCATGTCATTTTCCAAGGATAAGAAATGAAAGATTCATTTCCCACATTTGGTAATGCTGGGAAAGTAATCAGGAACCAGGAACCAGGAACCAGGAACTTATTCCTTTCCCATGTTTGTTTTGAGCAGAGATAGAAAACAAAGTTTGTATAAATTTTCAATTATACCCATATTAAATCAAATAAAAAAAAGAGAATACATTTAATGATTTATTGTAATTCTAAATTGTTAATGGGGGATAAAATGGTTATGAAAAATATTTATTTAATATTGACTCATTTTCTCAAACTTTCTCGTGAGGAGGGAAAACAAAACCCAAGTTAGGAGGGTAGCTTCACTTTCCTCTTTATTTTCCCATGAGCCAGACAATAATTTTCCCATACTTGAATTTACAAAACATGAGAAAACAATTGATTTTCCATTCTCAAGTTTCCTTTTCCATGAACCAAACGGGGCTAAAGCAGCCATTAGAGGCCCCACATCCCTCCTTGATATCTTAAACCCTCGCGCTCCTTAGCTCCACCAAACAGAGTCAAACACCTTCCATTGGGCATCCGTGGCTGGGTAGGTTTTGTTATACTTTTTATTTTTATTTTTATGTTATTTATATATTTGATGTAATTTTTTTAAAAGAATTGGTGGGTCCGACAGTGTACACGGTTGTTTTGTCGTTACCCCTAAACCCACCTAAAACCCAATATCATCCTTCGCGGGTTGCTAAACCCAAAATCAAAAGTCGGCATCGTTCGTTCTCCAACACCTCCACGAACCAAAAGCCCCCTTCTTCATCTTCTTCTGCAGTTTCTCAATTCAGCATGGCAACCCTATCACAAGCTCAGGCCGTCAAGTCGCTCAACAAATCCCCCGGACGCCGCCGTTTTGTCGTAAGCTTGCTCTTTGTTCTTTTTACTTCAGTTTTCTTTTTAAAGAATTTCATGATGATATTTGGTGGGTTTTTATGTGCAGTTCAAGAGCTTCTCTCAGAGACTAGAAGAAGTTGAAATTGATGTATTCCGAAGTCTTGATAAAGTTAAATCAGAGCCGCAAGCGGGCTCTACGTTTTTCCGGGACTGCCTCGTAGAATGGAGGGTATGTGCCTATTTTTCATATGATTTTTCTCCTATTTTTAATCATTTATTGTTTTTTATTTTCTTGTTTGTGATTGTTGGTGCTGATTTTTGTTGTAGGAATTGAACACGGCTGAGGATTTCATCGCTTTCTATGAGCAAATGACGCCATTGGTCCAAACATTGCCTTTGGTGTTGTTGCACAAGGAAACCATAATCTCAGAACTTCTTTCTAGATTACAGATGAAGGCAAGGTTGTCGCTTGAGCCCATTCTCAGGTATGCTAACTTATTTGACGCCAACCCTTTTGAGATATCTGATTGTATCTTTGGATTTTTTAATTTCCGAGAGTGGAGCTTTTCTTTTTCTTTTTAAAATTAGCTATGTTTGTGAGCAGGTTAATTGCAGCCCTGTCTAGAGATCTCCTAGAGGACTTTATCCCGTGAGTTTCCTCAGCCTTTAGAATGAATTTAATTTATAGCTGCTGGTGTTTTGTTGTTTTTACTTCCTTAATTGGTCATGATGTCTGTTGGTTATTCGAGACGACTCTTTCAGTCTCTTGAAGAATTGCATCATGACCTTTTGTTCTGGTTGAACATATTTATTGTCACTTATGTGGGTTTCTGTCAGCTTCTTGCCAAGGATTGCTGACTCTCTAGTGTGTCTCCTAGAAAGTGGTGCTGATAGGGAGCCAGAGACCATTGAGCAGGTCCAATTTTAGTTTTGTTGATTTCCTCTTTGCTCTTATTGGGGTTTACATGTAATTGTACATGAACTCACGGTTTGCGGTGTTTTTTGTGCAGATCTTTACATCGTGGTCATCTATTATGATGTACTTGCAAAAATATCTTGTACAAAAGCTTGTGCATGTTCTAAAGTAAGTACTTGGTATGGATTTTCAGTGTGTCAAAGCAAAATGGAGGCTTTTATTTTATACAAAATAAGCCCTTTTTAACTTTCACAGTGGTGATGAGAATATTTATGTGGTATATATGTGTGCATATAGGGTTACTGTAAAATTGAGATATTATCCAAAAGATTACATCCAAGAATTTATGGCAGAGGGGATGTCATTCTTGCTGAGAAATGCACCTTTTGAGCAGCTTAAAGAAGGTATACCTTGCCATATTTTATATTTTCAATTTTCGCCGTCTGAATTTGTTGACTAGGGGGAAACATAGATTATCTCTATACGAGTCCCTTGAAGCATGCCTTATTTTGAATGTGTTCAGGACTTTTTGTTTCATGGATTAAAAATGATGCAGTTTTCTTTTGTTTTTTA